CATGGGGTTCATGGTAGAGGGGGGCTGAACCTCAGGTTTCATCTAGTGCTAATTTTGGACTCAGGACATTCAGAATGACTAATGCTATAATTCAAAACATGCCAGAATCTTCCTAAACAGAGCCCTGCACAGAATCTCCTGTTAGGGTGGTCCCACTCCTCAGTGAGCAGGATGAGACCTTCTTGAACGGGGAACCTAACTGCCACTTTGCATAAAGGCACTGTTTTCCTTTGTTCTGAGTATATTCCTCCTATATTTTAGGATCTGAATTTCCTTGGATACAGCCTGGCAAATACAATTTCTAAAAGTCAAATCGCTATTAAAAAGCTTGTTTGCCCCATAAGTTTGCATTTATACTGCCCATATTTTATTAATGCTTTCTTCCTCTATTCTGTTTTTGTTTTTTGTTTGTTTGTTTGTTTGTTTGTTTGTTTTTTACTAATAAGAAAGGAAAGTGCTTTTAAATGCCCATCTGATGAGAAAACAAAGTTTTGAAAAGGAACAGAAGGAAAAAAATAGATCTTTGCCTGACTTTCTTTGCTCCTGTCTGGCTTTGCCTCACGACCACGACTATTGGTTGTCCTGGCTTCTTTCCCGTTGCTGTGTTTTCAGATTCAGCACACTGATGAGCTTGAAGTGTTCATTCTGTTAATTCAGAAGCCTGCAAATGATGAAGATTACATACTCAGCAAGTCAAATTTGAGAGCCTTCTGAAATTAAAAAAATATTTTGTGTTTACTAGCCTGCTCTAAAATTAGGAATATTGAATCAACTAATGTCTGGAAAAGAGGAGAGGTATTTGTCAGAAATTCATGTAACACACTAGTCAATAGATATTTTGTCATGTAGACCCAAAATGGAGGAAACCTAGGAAATGTAAAACCAACATATTTCCAGTCGTCTAATTCAAAACGACAATTTCTCAAGCAAATATTTGACTTTTTAATACGAAGGGCACGTAAATGCAAATTGATAAATTTAGTTCGTTTTTCATAGTCTGATAGATTTCACATTTCTGGATACCAGAGTGTGCTTGCCATCACCTGTAAATATGGATGAAAAGTTACTTTCTGGCTGATTGGGAATATGCACATCCATTGGTTCCATGTGGATAACAGATGTCTTAGCTTTTACAGACTAATTGGCAAAAATGGGGGAAAAGGGATAATTAAAGGGGTGGGAGGAGACACAGGGAAAGTGCAATCTTCCTTGTGGGGAAAAATCTAATAGACCTCCTTATTACGGATAATTACCTCCTCCTTCAGCTTCATTTGCTATCTCTTTCCGTAGGACTCAAGTAGAATATAATGGGAAAGTATAAAATAAAGAAACCTAGGGCTGGACTAGTCTGCTAACAACCAGATTTATCCTGTCATGGAATATTCTAGTATAATTGACTCATTTAACAGCAGTTTTAAAAAAGCAAACTATGAACGCATACGTCTAATCTCTAATGGCAACTTATGTTTTAATTGGCAACACAAGGGTTCTATGTTGAGTATGGTTGACATAAATATGGTTTAATTATATACCCAATGTGACCATGTAGTGGCTTCGTGGGAAATGAAAAATGCAAGGCTGAATATACTGTATGTTAACTATACATCTTAGGCTCTTGTAATTTGCTGTTTGTTCTCTGTTAGTGCTATAGTACTGCCAGCTGACCTGGAATAAATGAGAACATTTTGCAGATGTTTGAAGCTGTTATCATCAACAAATTCTCAATTTTGTTAGTGTTTCCATTGTGCAACATTTAAAGTAAGGTGTCATTTTCTGTGTCTTAACCATATTACCCAGGTCTGTGCTATTCTTCTGATTTATACCTTTCACTTTAAACTGAAGGTAATTTTATAGCCTGTTAAAGAGTCAGTGAGTGTCCATATTATTTCTTGATGAGAACTATTATGCAATCACTTTTATAAGAAGCTAGTATTGCTCCAAAGAGAAAGTATCAGGTTAGGTACTTAGAAGTTTACACTTACAACAAAACTCAGATAACCTGAAAGATAAGAATATTTATTCTTGATCCAAAGCCCATGCTACTGACTTTTATTGGACCACTGGTCTCCTAAAATAAATAGGTAGAGTTTGTTTTAAAAATATTAAATGTTTTAAAAGGTAAATAGGACAATAGAGATCAAAATCTCAATTGTTAGTTGATTATTAATTTCTTTCTGTTGTCTTAGAATTATGTTTTATTCACAATCTCTAGAAAATGGTGAGATGGGAGAATGGTTTTCATCCCTATTCAAGAAAAAAGTCAGCTTTAGTAAAATGGAAGCAACATTGCTTGAGTAATCTAACGACCATATTAATTCAGTCACTTGATCTTTTTGAGCCTCATTTCATTATCTATAAAATGGAGATAGTGACAGGTAACACCCACAGTTGCACTGGGAATTATACGCAATGATAAGCACACGAGAAACTAACATATGTCGAGTTATTGAGTACTTTACGGTTGTGTTCATTCAGTGGGCCCATAGTCCTTAGTTGCCTTGGTTTCCAGGTTAGGCTGCTCTTGGAAATAGAAAGCTCAAGGAGACTCTGATGAGGAGTCTAGTAACAAATGGATTGACATTGTGTGTCAGGAGACTTACTTCAGCCTCTAGAAATATGAGGTTGAAGAACAACCACAGTAGAGTCAGTTTGTTTATATCAAAAAGAGTGTTCCATATTTTATAATTGTGAAAATCCATAAATTATAAACTTATACAGTCACAAAATGTTGGGACCATATGAGACTTCAAGAATTCTGGATCCACTGCCTCCCCCAGTTTATTTTTTATTTTCAGAGGAAGGCAATGAGAGCCTGCGAGATTAAACATCTCCAACATCAATCAGCAAGTGAGAGACAGAGCTGGGACTGGGGCCTCCGTCTTTCGCTGGCCTTTATCCTGACCATCACCAGACACCACCCTGCTGTGGGACTGTCTATCTAGGTTCTAGTGTGAACAATTAAAAGAATAAGAACATTGAACTCACCGGGCAGAACAAAAAGAGATCTATTTCCTTGTCATGCCTTTTAAATGGTCTGTGTACCCTAGTTCATTCAGTTATTTCTTTATGGGTTTGAGATATATTTTGATTATTTGCATAGAACAACTAGCTTTTTATCCTCCAGTAGGGAAAGACATAGTCCCTAATATTTAAATAGTACTTTCTATGTACCAGGAACAGTTCTAAGGACTTTACATAGATTAACTAATTTATTCTTCATAACAGCACTATGAAAAGATATATTCTCCTTATATTTCATGTAAGGAAATGTAGGCACAGAGGGGTCAAGTAATGTCCCAGTACACAGAGCTAGTGTTATTTGGATTTGAAGGCCTTAGGTGAGGTTGGAATTGGAAGACTGCTAGAGAGATTTCACTTTCAGAAGACATCTGTGTGGATGGATCCTCATGATATGAAATTCATTATGCAAAGGATGTGACCTAAAACTCAAATCACCTAGATTTTATATATCTAGTTCTACTGAATCCCAGTCAATCTAGATTATAAAGTTCTACCACAGTACATAAATATCAACCACAGAGTATATTTATATTGATCACCTTTGAAATAAACAGAAGAATGAGCTGTTATGCCTGGTCCAATGTTGATAACAAAATAGTATTTTTTTAATGTTTGTATTTGTCTTAACACATAGGAGTGAAAATATTTATGAGGATGATATTTTACTAGTCAAGAACAATAATCAGAAGAAGATATCATTTCTATTAATCAACATGTAATTTTTTCTTTCTTACCCACTTATATAGGAATATTATCTATATTTGCTCTTATATTGGTATTTGAGGTTGAGTATATTAATTCCCACTTATGTATTGAATATGTTCTAGGTATAAAATTAGCTCCAATTTGACTAATTAGTCATTTAAAGACTTCTATTTGAGGAAAAATGATTGCACAGCAAAAATTTGGATATTCAGATAATTGAGATAATTGTGGTAGGGGGACAGTTATAATTTAAGAAATGTTTATTAAAGTATAAATACAAAAAGTGTATTGATTATTGTATTATTTTAAAGCAGTGGGATTAAATAAAATTAAATAAATTGCTCACAACCACTGGACTTTTCTGGCTAACAGATATTTTACATCCCAACAAAAGTACTGCACCACTTGAACATATGAGTTACTGTGTGTGTGTGTGTGTGTGTGTGTGTGTGTGTGTGTGTCAAGAGGAGAATGTGGAGGAAACTTGGGAAGTAAACAAATTAATTTAGCAAAATCTAGTTTTTGAACGTTTTATTTCAGTAGATACATGAAATTCTACAATTGATGTGTTTTGCTTTATTGAATAGATATGTTCATTAAAGAAAATTGCCTGAAGGTCACGGTCTATGTTCAAGTGACTCTCATTCTAAGATGTATTCTTTAGTAAAGGGGCAAGTATCGTGGCTCATCAGTGCCTCAATGTTACTATGAGAATATCAATAATGTTAAATATCACAGAACATGCATGTAAAGAATCACACTATTTTGTTTAGAGCTGTGGATATCTATGGTTAGGTTTGTGTTTAACACATTCACTTAGAAGATTAAAGGAGAAAGAGTAAATGAACAGAATAAACTGCATTGTTGGGTTATACCGCTGCTGTAACCACACTTGAATGTTCTGCCAGTGATGCCAGACAGCCCCCTTGGTTGCTGTGTTACTGTATCCTAGTGTTCCATGGGAGCTATTGATTTAGCAATGAGCTGATTAAGCTTAAGATGGAAGGATTTAGACTATGGATGAGAAAATGGTTTTAAAATATGACAGCAATAAATTCACAAAAATCCAAGGAAAGTAAGTGATGATTAGGCAACCTGTTTAACAAAACAACATAACTGAGGGGGGTAAATGTGTTCAGCATGTGTTTATCTAGAGCTGTTTATTTAATCCCTCCATCAATTTTCATGAAGATTGAATTTCTATACTTAAGTATTATGAAACGAATTTGCATGATGTCTTGTATCTTAAGGCTTTTTTGCCTTACACTTTTCAGGACTGAAGTGTGTATGTCTTTTGTGTGACTCTTCCAACTTTACCTGCCAAACGGAAGGAGCATGTTGGGCTTCAGTTATGCTAACCAATGGAAAAGAACAGGTGATAAAGTCCTGTGTCTCGCTGCCAGAATTAAATGCTCAAGTCTTCTGTCATAGTTCCAACAATGTTACCAAAACCGAATGCTGCTTCACAGATTTCTGCAACAACATAACATTGCACCTTCCAACAGGTAAGGGGTTTGTCCTTGTTCGTTCCAAGTTTACTTTTACTCTTGGGAAATCATACACATGGTAGAAATCAACCTGTTCTGTGTTCCTTTAAATAAAATCTGTTTTACAGCCCCGCCCCTCTTCCTCTTTGGACTAGTAGTATTGTCTCAACACTAGCTGAGGTTGATTTTTAAAAATTGTGCAAGACTGTCAAAACATTGACAATACATTATAATTTTGAAGACATTTGTCTACGTGAATTACATTTTTGGAAGTGATTATGGACCTAAAGTAAATGTAAACTTTAATGGATTCTTTTAAAGGAAAGACACTTCAATGTACACCAAGGAACGAAAAAGAAGAAAAAAAAGAGCAAAACTAAAAATTGTAGATTTCCAAATGTTATGGAGACAATCTTTCTTTATGACTACCTTCTGCATAGCTTCTTTATGTGCCCACATTCATGTAAGAACATTCATCAGCTGAAAGATATTATTGTTCAGATACATTCCTACCTCGTCCCAATTTCATGGTGTTTTATCCCACCGCTTTACAAAATACTGAAAACCTTAATCTCACCTTTTATCAGAAATCTGGGATCTGAAACTTTGGGGGATATTAAAGAGCAAGTAATTAAAACTAAAAGCTAACTTATGACATGAAAATGTCATGTTAGTGAATCTTCTTCAATATTTATTAATACAGTAATATTTCAGTGCTTATTGATGCGTTAATGTCTATACATAGATAAATACTCTTCTTATAAATTAACATTTTAAGGTACTGTTATCCAATCTTAGGTGTTTGTATATCACTATATCAATATTTCACTATAGTATTTTAACCTATTTTTAAAATAAATTGGCTGGCCCCCATTTTTTACTGAATAACATTTATTTTACTCAGCACCTTGGAATTAGTACCACAAATGAAAAGCCAGTTTACTTGCCATAATTTAAAGATAACTACATAAATAGACAGACAAACATTTCTACTGCATTCCAGTTAGGTATTTTGTTTTTTTTTTTGTTTGTTTGTTTGTTTAAAAGAGAGAGATGAAACTTTTTGATACATTATCAGAAAAACTAAGACAACCAGAGAAGAAATCATCATGTTACGTACTGTCGTGTTTGGTTTACCATTCCGATTCGTCTTCAGAACCTTGAAATGATTCCTGTGCCACCGCGGGTGCTGGCCCAGCTCTCTGGGAGAGACTGTGTGGTGAGACCTCGCCTGTACATTGCAGTCTCACGAGTCATACTTGGCATATTTCATCCTTTAAAGCCACTCGCAGTCTTGCTTTTGGGACTTCACTTACTCAGTCTCAGATTCCACGGACTCCTTGGTTTGGCAGTGATCTTGTATGTATTCTGGTAACTTTTTTCCTTTGCGTTTTCTCCCCTGGTTATCTGTGGACCAGAGATACCCTAAAGTGAAGACTTCCTATATTTGCTACTTGCCTAATCCATGACCAAGATCCAAAAGATTAAGGAGGGAGAGGGACATCTTCTCATTGATTTGTGGCAGTGGCCTCTTAAAGGTGCCTTCTAAATAATGAATTACCCACAAGACCACATTCTGCCAGTAGTAGGGGCACAGGACAGTACTTTCCCTGCAATAAAAGGGCATGGGGGACGAAACGGCTCATGCGCAGTTGGGCAAATTAAAAGTACTTAGTGCATCTGGTATGTAGGTCCTTCCCAGGCCAACACAGACAATCTACTGCAGTGGTTCTCCACCTGTGGGTCGCGACCCCTCTAGGGGTTGAATGACTCCTTCACAGGGGTCACCTAAGACCATCGGAAAACACATATTTCCAGTGGTCTTAGAAGCAGAGACAACGCTCCTCTATCCGTCTCCAGGAGGGTCCGGCCACATGCACATATGCCCACGTACAACATGAGGAACTGTATTAAAGGGTCTCAGCATCAGGAAGGTTGAGAACCACTAACCTACTGAGAAGCTTATATCCTACCCTCAAGTGGAGTCAGGAGTCAGTCTTTCTTTTTTAAAAACCAATGTTATTGTGGTCTAATTTAGATATAAGGAAACACACAATTTAAGTGGACACTCTGATGAATTTGACACATATACACACCCACTACCACAGTTCCATGACCTCAAAATGATCTGTCAGTCCCCCGCATCATTAGAGCCAGATGACTGACCTATTTTCCAACACTGTTAATAGATTTATTTTTCCTGGAGTTTCACAAAGAAGGAATCATATGGAACATATTTTGCATTTGGTTTCTCTCACTCAGCATATTTTTGAGTTGTATTCATGTCATTGGGTGTGTTAGTAGTTTTTTTTTTTTATCTCTGGATAATATCTCATTGTATGAATATACTACAGTCATTTTTTATTTTTTTATCCATCCACTCATTGATGGGCAGTCAGGTTGTTTCCATTTGGGGACTGTTACAATAAATAAGCTGCTGTGAACATTCATGTGCAAATCTTCAGATTAATGTTTTCCTTTTCTTGAGAGAAGAACCTAAGAGTGGCCTTGCAGGGTTACATAATATATAACTTTATACATATGATTCCAAATAGTTTCCGACTGATGATACCATTTCACATCCTCAACAGAAAAGTTTGATAGTTTCCGTTGGTCCATATTCTTGCCAACACTTGGTATAATCAGTTTCTTCTTTTTTAATGTTAGTCATTCAAGTGATTATATGCTAGCATTTCCTTGTGGTTTTAATTTGCATTTTCCTGATAAACAATGGTATTTAATTACTTTTACATGTACATATTGGACATTTGTTTATCTTCCTTTATAAAATGTCTACTCTTTTTCACATTTAAAAAATTGTATCTTCTTATGGTTGAATTTAAGAGTTCTTTATGTATTCTGAATGTAAGTTCTTTATCAGATGTATATATTATGACTATTTTCTCCTATTCTGTGGATTGCCATTTTGTTTTTTTGAAGGTGTCTTTTGCAGATTAAAATTTGCTGAAGTCTATTTAATCCTTTTGTTATCATGGTTCACTGTTTCATGTCCTAATTGAGAAGTCTTTATTCAAAGGTTATAAATATTTTCTTTTATGGTTTCTTATAAAATTTTTAACATTTCAGATTTTGCATTTAGGTCTATGTTCAGCATCTTGTTTATTGTAGCTTTATCATAAATATTAAAATCAGGTCTTGTGACCCCTCCAACTTTGTTCTTTCTCAAAATTGACTTGGTATTTTAAGTCCTTTACATTTCCATTTAAATTTTAAAATCTGCTTGACAAGTTTTACAAAACATGTGCGGAAATTTTGATTACATTGAGTTGAATATATAGATTAATTTGAAGAGAATAGTCATGTTAACAACAATAAATCTTTTGATTCATGAACATAGTATGTTTTTCTATTTATTTGGTTTTTCTTCAGTTACTCTTTGTGGTGTTTTGTAGTTATCAGCAAACAGATCTTATACATTATTCATCGAATTTACTCTATTGTATGTTTTTGGATGCTATTTTGAATGGTTTTTAATATCTCAATTTCTAAATGTTAATTGCTAGTATATGAAAATTAATTTTGTATAGTCACCATATTTCCTACAATCCTGCCAAAATAACTTATATTAGTTCTACTACATTTTTTTTTCAGATTTTTGACATTTTTATATATACAATCATCTGTGAATACAGAAAATTTTACATCTTCCACTCTGATGTATGCATTTTATTTCTTTCTCTTGCCTTTTTGCACCGGCCAACACAGCCAATATGACTGATAGGAGAGACGAGAGTGACGTTCCTTGCCTCCTTTTTCCTGGTCCTGGGAGGAACGCCTTCACTCTTTTATTATTTAGTATGATGTTATTTCATTTTTTTTTATAGATGCCTGTCATTAATTGAGGAAATTTACTTTTATTCCCATTTTAGGGAAAAGTTTTTTTTATCATGTATAAATATTAAATTTTCCAAGTATTTTCAAGAATTTCTTAAAATTATCACATGATTTTTTTCTTTTTTAGTCTATTGATATGATGGATTACATTAATTGATTGTTCAAATATCATTCATAATAGGGAAGATATGTGTTGTCAATCCAGTAAATAATCTTATGTGAGATTAACCGCATTCCTTTTTTTTTTACTTAAACTTAAGGATGCGTTTCTGTTTAAGGCATTGTGCAGCAAATTGACATGAAATTGAACAGGACTGTATATGCAGTCGTCTGTGGCAGGTTGTTCTCTCTGTGAGGCAGCACTAAGTGGTTATTAGCTGTATTTGCAGCAGCAGCTGTTTGGAGAGGCTTTGAGGGTCTCCAGGCTGAGTGCTGACCCAGCCAGTGCCAAGAAGGCTGCTGTTTCAGTGTCATCAGTGAGTGTGACTGATCTCCCTTGCTCTGCCTAGCAGGGATTTGTCCATTTTAAATGTGATCACATATATATGATATATATCTAGGAGCACTCTTTAAAATGGATGGTGTGACATTTCTACAGTACTTAATACTCTGCATCATCTTTACGGGCCAAAGAAGGAAAGGTTGGGAGGTGATAGAAGAGGCTGGAGAAAATCTGAGGCTTCCCTTTGAGGGAAGCCAAGTGGATTGTTGCCCCTTTGGCTCATTCATTCACCACCCCAGACCGTGGGGCCATTTCTGGATAGCTGTCTAGATGTAAGTACAGTAACTCAGTCTTGTCATATTTCAGCTGGTCCTCTTGTGTCCTTCGATCCTGTGTGTAGTATTGGGCTCCTGCTTCATTTCTTTGTGACAGTTCTTACCTTGAATACAGCTCGTGACATTTTTTCTCCTTGCTCCTCTCCCTGCTGCTTCTCTCGCAACTTGGCACTTGGAGAGCGGTAGGAGCTCACTCTTGCCCTCCGAAAATGGTCTTACATTTTAACTCACTCCAAAGGCCCCAGACTAGTGACTTTCATACATGTTTCCATTATGACACACAGAAAGACATACAGTTTATATAATTTTCTCCAACTTTCATTCACATACAACTGAAACAAGAAATTTACAAATATTCTTACCATTAAAATGAGTGAGGTGCTCTA